GCATGCTTCTATTTTCCTGGCTCCACAAAGGGAAAAGCAGGAGGAACTGGAAACATCCAGTGAATCAGATATAAAAAGGAGGCTACTCTCTGGATATACAGAAAAAGTTTTATTCCTTAAATTAGCATAACATTTTTCAGCCAAGGGATAATTGTATGGTGTCCTTCAGGAGCTGTTAAATGAAAAATGGAGTGAACAGTATGTATGTATTGATAATTATAAGCAAGGCATATACTCAGGAAATCACATAAATTACACAGGCAGATATGCCTCAAGTTAGATATAAAATGCACCTATTATGAAATAATATAGTGAACCAAATAAAATGGCATATGTTTAAAACCCTGTTTGCTGGCATTCTGTTGAGCAGTTACAAATGTGTAAGTTAGACTTATTCATTTGTAACTCCTCGGTATTCATATATATGTTAGTGACACTATTACCTCAATATCAAAGGCCCTCCTGCCCCCAAAATCCTACCTTAACATCCATCAGCCACATCAATCAATGGAGGTCTGTTCTACTGGCAACTGGAGTACAGCAGGATGATGTTTCCACCAGTGATCTGTGGTGCAACAATTGGACTCAGGACCTCAGTGACAACTCCTTGCCCCACCACAGATCACTGATGGAAGGAGGCTGGAAACATCACCCTATTGTGACCTGTTCACCAGCAGAACACACCTTTGGTGTGTCTGCTATTATGTGGGTTGGGAGAGCTGTACAATTTAGGATCTCAGCCATTCTTTATTTTGTTGTTATTGTGTGCCTTCAAGTCATTTCTGACCTATGGCAACCCTAAGGTGACCCTCACCCAGGTCAACCAATGGCCACATAAGGAATCAAAACCCATATCTCCAGAGCCATGGTCCAGTGCTCAGACAGCTACAACCACACTGGCTCTCATATATGGTACTTGCAAAGCAACTAAAAATTCAACTTGCAGTGACTGCAGAGAAAAAGGTAACCCCAGAGTTTATTCCTGGCATCTAATAGTTCTTAGAATGGAAGGCAAAGATACGTATTTTTGCATTCCTTTTTCCTTTCTGCATATCAGTTTACTCCTAATCACTGCAACCTGGCAGCTTTGGGAATCAGATCTGCTGAGATTAGGTTAGACTTTGGTTGAAAATTCCCCACATACATACACACCAACTATGGTTGCTAGGTGTTTCAAATAGCAATATGAGGCAGTCCTTTCTTATCACAAGACTTCAGGTGGGTTTATAGAGGCTTGTCCCATGTGTTATTCATCTCAGATTCTTGAGCTTGTGTAGCTGACAGCAGAAGAGCAGGTGCAAGCCATGTCCACAGCCAAAGGATTCCTGCAGTAGTTGGCATGTAATTTGTGGCCATTTTGCTCCATTCCAAATGTTTGGAGGTCAGTCTGTTGTGAGGATAGCTGGGATCTACTATTCTTTTCTCACTGGAGAAAAGGAGATTTGGGGCTGGTCTGCCCCAAAAACAAAAATATATTTAACATAGTGAGGACCTTGGCCCCCTTCAGGACTGCTTTGTTTTTATTGTTAACTGCCATTGAGTTGACCCTGACTCATGGTGACCCTGTGGATGAGACATCTCCAAGACCTATCTTCCACTGCTCTGCTTAGGTCCTGCAGATTCAGGCCTACGACTTCTCATTCGCCTATGTTTCAATCATCAGTAGAATGGACCTCCTTCACCCCATGCAGCTGATGTCCAGTAATATTGGTAGGGATGGGTTGTTGAGATCATGGCAGTTCAGAAGATTTATTTAATTAAGTAGCTGATGTAGAAGACAATGGTCCCTTGGTATCTGATGGCGTTTGTTTCCAGGACCCCCTGTATCTACCAAAATCCATGGATGCTCTGATCTCATTAAATACAATAGCATAATAAGATGGAATTCATCAGATAGTGCCAAAATGGTTTGCTTTTTAGAATTCATTAAAAAAATATTTTCAAGTCATGGATAGTTGTACCCATGGATCCAGAAGGCCAACTGAATCCCTGGATACAGAAGGCCAACTGTACTGACCATTATTTTATGCAAAATATAAAGTTGTTCCCTGCACAGAAAATGCTTTTTGTGCAGCACCTTTCCCCCTCCCCCATGCATTTTGCATGGAATAAATCCCAAAATGCAAAAAAAAAAAAAAAGTCAGTCTGGGATTCTTTTTATCAAGGTTTTCCAATACTGAAGAAGCATGTTTCTCAATCTTTCTTTTAATTGTTTTGAATGTCCTTTCCATTGCTTCTTCAGAATGAACTTGACAGCATCACACTACAGATTTTCATAAAATGTAGCCAGAGTAGCATAGTTGGTGCTCTTAGACCTCTCAGCGGCTTTTGACACGATAGATCATG